AGTGCAAACTAACATTAATAACGGTAGTAGGCTCAAGAGAAACAACAAGCAAGAAGGATTACATTTGTATAAACCCTTTTGGAAGGGTTTATATTACATTACATACATTTTTACATTTGTCCCTTATCCCATTTTCAAAATTTCTTTCTGCCTTTCTCCTCACTGCCATGTACTTGTTTCTCGCATCTTGGTATCGTCGATATGTTTGGGGGTTTGGCCTCTTCCTATATTGATTCCATTTTTGTCTTTTGGTCTCTGGCCCTCTCGCAATTTCTGTTGAACCAATCCTGTTTCCTACTTCTGCATTTTTGCTTTGGTATAATTTTGTTTGTGCCTTTATCATATATTTCACAAAACTTTACATACATCTCATTTACTTCATTTCCTAGTAGCAAGTCTTTCCAGTCGAATTCCTTATAGAAATTTCAAAGTTCCCCATAATGCAGATGAAGCGTCACAATAACGTAGCTGAAAAATGTTGACCAAACCACACACTTGAAATTGAAGAGATGACGACGTTTAGGTCCGTCCAGGACCACATTATCAAGTTGATTGTGATGAGACGAAGGGGGCAAGGGCAATAAATAGGCAAGAGAGAGCTGAGGAGATGGAAATCTTAGAGGATGGTAAGAGCAAGGCAAAAGGTATGGAAGGAAAGGTGCAATAAAGGGTGTAATAATAGGAATAAGAAAAGGATTGTAAGATAAAAACAAGAGAAAGACAAAGAAAGATAAAAGGAAGGGTAAGCTTATGTTAGGTCATGTTTGTTAGAAAGTTTAAAGCATTTGAGTAGCTGCTGTGAAAGGGAAAAGTTGACAGCAGCAACAGCCAGGACTTTGGTTCGTATTGGGTTTGTTGTGTATCAGAGCTGATTTGACAAGATGGCATCTGTGTCGAGTAGAGGCAGGAAAGATTATTTTGGAGGAAGACAAATCAATAGGATGATTAGAATCCCTAACATGACAGAAGAGAGCATTGTTTGTGTCTGCAGACTTAACGCTTCTTTTGTGTTCTTTAAGTCTGTCATTAAGTGTACAGCCAGTTTCACCAAAGTATTGGTGAGGACAAGACGGACAAGAAATAGAGTAGACACCAGCAGCATTAGAAGCAGGAGGAGGCGCAGCGTGAACTAGATTGCTACGAAGAGTGTTAGTTTGTCAAAAGGCAAGCTTTATGTCAAGAGGACGAAAATTACTGTATTAGTAAAAGTTTTGAGTTCAGATATGAAAGGAAGGCAGAGCACAGTGCTACTAGCGTTGGAAACAGGTTTAGGATGAAAGAAATTTCATGTAGCTTGAGAATAGGCACAGTTGATAAAATGTAAAGGGTAACCAAGGTGAGAAAAAGATTTGTAGATAAAGGAAATTTCAGAATCAAGAAGCTGAAGGTTGCTGATACATAGAGTGCAGAGGAAGAGAGAGACAAGGACACTTCCAACCATCCTCCTCCTGTTAAGAAAAAAGAAGTGAATGTACATGCCACTATGCATGGGTTTGTCCCCTTCCCCATAATGTCCTCTCCCAAAATCAGGTTTTTCAACTACTTCAACCTCCATATTTTCTTCCAGATTATAACTCATTGCATACTTTACTCCTAAGAAGACAAGGTCACATTTACCCAAGGGAGGAAGGTACTGAATGTCAAATATCTCTTCCGCTTTCCTGGTAAATATAAAATCCAGCATGGAGGGAACATCCCCCTTCCCTCATACCTTGAGATTACATTGAGATGTTTTTGGGGCTTAGTGTTCCCACAGCCTGGTCCTCGATCAGGCTTCCTTGTTGCTGGATTGGTCAACCAGGCTGTTAGACGCAGCTGCTTGCAGCCTGATGTATGAGGCTCATCCTCGTAGCTTGTTTAACATGTTGATAAGGACTGTTTCCAGGATGAGGTTTACAAATCTACAGGTCCAAAAGTCCTCTGTTCTAGCTTCATATGCCTCCCAGTTTATGGATTTCGAGTTAAGAGTCGCTGACTACCAAGAGTTGTAATCTATCTTTGTGACATGGAAAAAGTTCACAGGTTTAGCCAATTTCCATGTTAGGTAAATGTTAATTCTGACTAATGTTGAAGTTTTTATGAGTTTTGTAAAAAAAAAAAATACCATGTATAATATTTAGCCCAATTAGCATTCTGGTGCTCAATGGGTTTTATATATGCTATCATTATCTTGGCAGCAACTCGATTCGCAATGGGGTGTGGCCGACATCCACCAACAACTTGGGGGTGGCATGTGCATTCTCGGTCTACCTGCTGGAGTATGAGCCCACATCAGCCCAGGCTCTCACTGCCTACCTCAAGCAGGCCGTGCATGCTCTGCCTCTTCCTGTCAGTGAGTACACCCTATCCCTTCCTATGTTACCATCCATTCATATGTTAACATCCAGGCTCTGACTGCCTACCTCAAGCAGTCTGTACAAGCTCTGCTTCTACTTGACAGTGAGTAGGGTAAAGTATAAGGGCTCTGCTGCCTAGAAATTACCTAATAGTATCTGCACCAGTACAATGAATGAAACCACAAACATGCTAGGAACTTCCAGAGCAACAATGTTAAGTCATACAGAGCCAAAGTTTTTTTTTTTTTAAATAGTTTCTGAAATTACAATGGGTTTATTTCTATATCCTTAAATTTTAGATGTGCAAAACATATATTGACTGTGGCTGTAATCACTATTGAATGTTCTTATTTGGATCTACTGTATTCCACTGTTAACACTACTTTTACACTTTAAATTACTGAATGTGAACAAACACAATTTAACAAACCTCATGATACAGAATAATTGTAAACACAAGTATGCTACTGCCAGTTTCCACTGGGACATGTAAATAATCAATCTTAGTTAATCCGAACTACCATATATTACAGCACCACAAATATAGTATTGTACAACAGTATTGTACAGGAAGGATGAGAAAATAAAAATGGGAGGCAGAGAAGAGAGCCAGGGACCACACCAGATCCAAGGACTGGGCCAACACAGCCTGCCAACACACAAGAATGGGGGCAAAGAACATGGCCACCGCCTCCTGGAACACAGGAGCATACAGCTTGGGAAACAAAGCAGACACTGCTACAGCAGTGGCCAAAACCCCTGCATTAGGTCCTCTTCTGAGCATCTCAAAGCCCTCCCAAAGCCAGTCAGTCCAAGAAAGAGTGGAAGCAAACCGCAGACATTGACGGACGCACAAGAATGGCCCCAGAAATACCTGCAACATGCATGACACCTCATGCCACTCAAGTATGCGGGAACGACAAAAGCTGTACCACGCAAAACCAAAGGATTGTCTGCTAGCCAGAAAGACTCGAGAACCTCATAATGCATCCAATAAGGGGAAGAAGATCCAAACTTAAACAGGAAAGGATTCATCAAAGAGAAGTAATCTGGGTCTCACAGGAGGTACGTGAAGAGCACCTCCCAAGTCGCTGAAGGAGGGACCCGAGAGGAAGGAATTCTTCAGAAGGACGATACCAACAGGCCCAAAGGCACATGGAATTAAACCCTGGGGAAGCCGCACCCAAATCATACTTGTACAGGAAAGAAGGATACGAAAATCCCTTCCCCCACAAATGGAGACCCCTCCTCAGAGGGAATCAGGAACCCCAGAGTCAAATGGGACCCCATGGGCCCATATCAGACTCCCCCTAAGCCCCAGAAGCCACATTTGAGAGGCCTGAGGCAGATCCAGCATAGGACATGTTGAGGAGTTTCTCATCCACACCTGTTTTCTCCATCTAGGTCACTACCTTTTACAGTGGATGAGAACAAAAGTGTATGTGGAGAATGCATCTCCAAGAATGCAAATTAATGATGACTATTTAGGGAGGTATACCCATATCACTCTATAATAAAATGAGCTTAATAGAAGTAAAAACAGTTGAACAAGTCACTGCAGCAGCCCTATTAACCCATTCTAGGCTGTACTAATTTATATACAATCCCTTTCCCTATGTCACTATCATACCTATTTTTAAAGTTAACTATACGATTTGCCCCTATGATGTGGTTGGAAACCTATTTCTTGAGGTTATCTTGAGATGATTTCGGGGCTTTAGTGTCCCCGCGGCCCGGTCCTCGACCAGGCCTCCACCCCCAGGAAGCAGCCCGTGACAGCTGACTAACACCCAGGTACCTATTTACTGCTAGGTAACAGGGGCATTCAGGGTGAAAGAAACTTTGCCCATTTGTTTCTGCCTCGTGCGGGAATCAAACCCGCGCCACAGAATTACAAGTCCTGCGCGCTATCCACCAGGCTATGAGGCCCCCCTTCCATTTCATTCGTCTACCACCCTATTGTTCAACCAATGCTCCCCATATCTTTCCTGAATCTGAATTTATTCAGCTTATAGCCATGGCTACAGGTTCTGTTGATACCCCTCATCTACTTAAAAGATCTCAATGTCTCTTTGGCCATCTGCCTTTCCATAGAATGTAGGCCAAGCTCCATTAACTTCTCCTATGAGGGGTACTTAATACTAGGATCAGTTTTGTCATTCTATGTTATATTTTATACAAAGAGTTTTCATTTACTCTGTAACATGGTAACCAGAATTTGATGCAGAATTTGATGACTGACAATGTAGTCAGTGCCAGTTCCCAGCCAAGACTGACGACCAACCAAAGTTGACAACCATATGTTGATCAACTAATACTGGCAACCTATGTGTATCTTGAGAATTACCAAGCATTAATATAATAAGTAATATAGCATGGCATGTTAGAATATTTTGGTGCTGTATTCAATTATTTTAAATTCTATTTAGTTTGCTAGATAACAACTAGCACTCAAGTTCCCATGGCAGCAGCTGTCTGTCAAATAATTCTGTATCAGTAATGCGCTTTCCAGATGTCTACCCACATCATTCTATACCTTAAAGATGTGCAAGTTAGAGGAGGAGAATCTGAAGCGTAGAACTTGGGAAACCCTATCAGAATACATACATAATCATAATACCATTTTATTACTGCCATGGCTAAACATAACATTTTTTGGCTTACCGTACAGTGGAAAAGAGTCGTTCATATTGTGCCATACAGATTGGGATGGTGTTGCGTAGGAGTAAAGGTGGAAGCTCTTCTCGATCAATCTTTCGCTTGATGTTAAGAATGGAGAATACAACATTTGCTGCTCTTGATACCTGGAAGTATTTGAATTGCTTAAAAAAATAAAAGCTTAGTGCTTAAGAAGCATATATTTTAGATGTGCTTTCTCCAAGTGGGATAAGGATTAAAATAAAAAGTGGAACTAGATATGTTTTGATTGCAATTGATAATGGGATATATTGCTGGGTGCTATGCCACCATCTATACTGGGGAATATTATTATTCTGCTAATGTTTGAGCTCATGTGCTAAGGATACATCTGTTTAGAGCTTGAAATGAAAGTTGTGCACTGAGTTGATGGGAATATGCTGTTCATTAATGGCAGAGGCTGCTCTGTTAAGAAAGGTCAGTTTCCTTTGATGGTATGTGGTGCCAGAGATGGACAACATGAGCTTGACCCTAAATGATGCTAGCAAGTGGAAAGTTAACAGGATTAAAATCCTGAAGGTGACTATCAAGAAGTCTGCCTTTCCTGCTGTTAGGATTTTAAATTAAATGCCTACGCTGCACTGGATGATGACTATTGTGAGATGGTGATAGCTCATTCTCCAGGAAGGGTGACAAGAGTAAATAAGAATGTGAATTTTGGTTGTAGATTTCTAGATGAGGTATTTGAACAGGACATTTCTGTGCCAGAGAGGAAGGAAAACAGATTGAGGATTTACTATGCAGGAGCAGGAATTGGAGTTATCATTACCAATATGAACACTATTAGGACTAATAATGGGATAAAACCTGTTATCTGTATTTGTGCAGGAGGAAATGTTTTAGAAAGAGTTAGGATTGAGGCATTAATACAGAAGCTTAAAACAGCCACCAAGTTAGTTGCATTCAAGGACAGGATCCCAGTTATGTGTGGCATTCTTGTGAGAAGGGGAACGGGAAATGAAGTTTGTTTAACCCCTGAAGGGCGCAAATTTTATATATACAATTTGAGTAAATGTCGCTGAACGGGGCACATCATGTATATACAATTGAGGGTGCCATGCACAATTTAAATGGCAAGTACAGCGGCTGGCACTGGTGCAGGGCCTTCCCCGCTTCCTGAGTCTGCACTCAATGATCATGAGAGGTAAAAGGGGCTGGCCTGAAGAACCAGAACATCCTCTGAAGCCAAACCCTGCACAACAGAAAAACCATATGGAGTCAGACTCCTGCACAACCACTCGAGCAACCGCCGAGTCACCTGGCTTCCTTCAAGACCAGGAAATGGCAGTGCTACAACAGGAGCAAGCAGCAGGAGGCAGCAAAAGCGATGCTGACCAAGAGTCCCATATCAGGCCCAATCAGGTTCGAACCTGAAATGAAACCAACTGGGGCTTCTGTCAGTTCACCAGCAACAGAGAACCCAGCAAGCTGGGAAAGAACCAAATCCCTGGCTAACAGATCTGCAGACAGGCTTGGAGCCCACACCAACCAGTTATCAAGATATGCCAACACCCAAACACCAAACAACCAAGGACCAGCCAGCACAGTCCAAGTAAAATATGGGAAAATGCAAGGTGCTTTATTTAGTCAAAAAGGGAGTAAGGAGAGGTAGTGAAAGGGGCAGTGGGAAAGGATGATAGGGGGATGTGGGGAGAGAGGGGGGGAAAACAAGGGGTGAAATAGGGGTAAAGGGGAATAGATGGTCTATCCTGTGTACTGCTGGGTACCCCTCCAATACAATATAATAATAATAATAATAATAATAATAATAATAATAATAATAATAATAATAAAAAACTTCACATTGAAAAACTGCCTGTAATAAAAAACCAGCGTTGAATGTAATGAAACGCCATTTTCTGGGTGAGACCCGGAGGCTCCCCGGAGCTTTACCAGCCTGATATGCTAATGTCAAACTTTGGCATCAGTCATGTGTATGGAGTTCTAGGGCCTACCGGAGACCACGGCCAGAACCTGGCCCCCTCAGAGAGGCAAGGAGAGCAATGGCCTATAGAAACCCCCGTGTGGTTGGAAGCATTCTATGTCTGCCATCAACTGGGTCAAGCATCCAGAAAGGTAAGCATTCCAAAACAAACCCCTATTCTGGTTAAAATTGCTACCAAAAGCCAAACTAGTGGATAGAACTCCCCAACAGAAAACAAGCAAACTAGTACAACGTCACACGTCACCGCGCCGCTGTCTGCGCAGATCCCCCCTCCCCAGGAGGGGGAAGGGGGAGCCCCAGACCTCCCATGCCGGCTACCCACCCATCAGTTCTGAGGCTGGATGTCAAAACACGCAAAAAAACGCCGACCGGAGGGAGGGAGGGAGGGTTGCCGGGGAGCCTCCGGGTCTCGCCCAGAAAATGGCGTTTCATTACATTCAACGCTGGTTTTCTGGGGGAAGCTCCGTCAGCTCCCCGGAGCTAACTACCCAGAGGAAGGTCAAAGGGACGGAACCGGGAGGCGGACACCACGCACCCCCCCACGGAAGTGAGACAACCGGCAGCAAATGCCAACCCAAGGCATCACAGCCCAGAAAGGGCCTGGAAACAACACGAGACAATGAGTAGCAAGGCCCCAGTACGAACACCAAAGATCCGTGCCCGAATGACAGCAAGGACACGCCGCCCAGACAGCAGCAAGAGCAGTGAAGCCACAAACGCCATGTGCATGGGGGAGAACACAGGCAGGTTAGCCGCAAGAACACGGCTGACAACCTGGGACACCGTCGCCTGCGGACAGGGAAGAACTGAAACTGGATCAACTCAAAACGCGCCCCCGGACACATGTCGAGGCACGCAAGTAACAGCGGAGGGCCGCCATTAAACACAAAACATGACACCCCCCCGGCCCGACCAACCAAGCACCAACAAACCAAGGATCCCTCTGGGACGCAGCAGCCCCATCCCGTGCCAGAAAAGATGGAGACTGCTGCCACCGAACCACCGAAATGCTAAAACCGAAGGAGCAGAAAAACCCCAGCGACCTGACCCCCAGAGGCAAATGCCAACAGGAAAAAAGAGCTGACGAAAAACAAACCGAAACCGAAGGGGCACCACCAACCGAAGAGAAGACAGAGCACGCTGACCAGAGACCAGGATGGTGCAAGTGGCGCACGAACAGGCCAAAGGTGAAACAACGCACGAGACAGCTTACTAACGGCGCAGAAGCAACACGAAGACCGAAAGCAAGCCGAAGTGGCTCCGCCAGTGCTGCACGAAAAGAGGCAACAGTAAGTGGCAAGACGACGGGCCCCAACCCTCACAAGAAAAAGCAAGCCAACGCGAACAACTGCAGCCACCTAAGAAGGGACAGGAGGAAAAGAAAGTACCGCCAAATTACCCCATACTGCCGCCAAGAAGAAGTATGCAGGTGGGACATCTACTACGAAGCCACCCGACCACCAACCGGAGGCGAGACCGCGAGGCAGAATGGAAGCAGCCCCGACAAGGCCCCACCGAGCCCAGGAAAAGGCGGAGCCACGGGAAGATCTCGGGCGCAACCACCGAAACCCAGGCGGCACAAGGAGATGGAACGTCGGCCGAACAGAAAGCTCCTCAATGCAAGTAAGCCTGCCAGGAGATCAGAAACGACGGGTCTGATGCAAGACATTGCAAGATCCCGAAAAGCCAACCGGCAGGGCAAGCCAGGAAAACCGAAGAAGGCGTAAGGGTTGCCTCCAGAAACAGTACCCGAACCAAGGGGTACGAGCAACTGAAACAGACTAAGACAAATAAGCGCACCATAGGACACAGGCTGAAAGAACGCCCAAGAAGCCAAGGAATGCACGCAGAACACCCCTGCGGCAGAGGACGAAACAAAGGGAACGCACGGGGAAGGGAAGCGGTAGAAACCGAGCCCCCCCACCCCACAGCAGCAAGTGCAGGCAAAACCGACTAAAGGAGATGCCAGGAAAGCGACTGGGGAGAGGCAGAATTAAAGAGCCGAAGAACAAACCCCAGGAAACAACCAGGGGTATACAATCAGGCAGGGACAGAAACCCCACGCACAAGGGAGGGCCCAGCCAGGGACCCGAAGACCACGAGAAAGAAGCAAACCCCCATACCAAACCCTAGGTACAAAACAGCAGCAAAGTGCCACACCATAACCGGACACCAGAACAAGGACACGCCACCGCGAAACACGTTACCAATGCATACGTGCAGCAGCAACAGGCACCACCGCAACATGCAACATGTAAATAGCAACTCGCTTCTGCAAAGGCAGAGAACGGTGCAGACAGACCCCAGACAGGGCCAACGGAGACACGACAGAACCCAGCAGGCCCAGGAACCTGCACACCAGGCAACCGACGGCGGAGAAACCTGCTCAATACCTGCTGGATGGGGTTCCAGGAGTTCAGTTTACACCCCGAGCCCGGCCCGAGGCTAGGCTAGACTTGTAAGAGGGTGGTCCACCAGGCTGCTGCTGGGAGCGGCCCGCAGGCCCACATACCCACCACAGCCAGGATGGGCCGGAACCACTATTCAAAAACAGGCTAGTGTACCTTGGAAGACTACGGATGTACCGGCAACATGGCGTATGCCCGTAGGTAGGACGTGTAACAACCGCAGACCTCTGATGGTTATACAGTGTTCCCTGATTGTGCCTATTGCACCACTGCACTCCACTGGTACTATCCCGCAAGTTCTTCCATATAGGCGGGACCCAAGAGCCAGAGCTCAAACCCCGCAAGCACAGCCAGGAGAGCCCTACCAGGTGAGTACATAACCAGCACCACAACCCACACACCTCATAACATGAAAGAGGTGGGTCCCCTGAATGACTCGAGTATGGGTTGGACATGCACAAGAGTGGGACTGGAAGGGTTGAAAAGGGACAGTCACTGGTGTGCTAACGGTCACAGTCGTACATAGATATACCTAAAGAAAGACAGGTATATAAACATCCTCGCATCCAGCGCCGGGCCAAAAGACGCCAGACCGCAGAACCTGTCGAACGGAGGCACGAACGTGACATGACCCAACAGCGCCCAGAAGATCCTGGGAGCACCGCCAGGTGAAGAAGGCCACGCTGGAGAGCAGGGTAGAAGCGAAGGAGGTGGCCCACACCCATGACACAGGGAAAACCTTAGCGTCCACCCCACAGCTGGAATCCAGGACACCCCCGGAGCGAAGGGGCACATACTGGAGCAAGGGAGAAGAGCGAAAGGCGAAGCACCCGAGAAAAAAGGGCGCAAAACACTAGCACTGAAACACTGCTCAGACCAAAACAAACTCCACGGCGCATGCGCATGACACGCTGACCAAACCGCACAACCCGCTCTGCGGGAAGGCGCCAACCAGGACTACTGCACTAGAAAAGTAGCCAAAAGAGGAAGCAGTAACAACAAAACCGGCCAACGAAGCGAAGACAAAGAACCCAAAGGGAACCCAACCGGGCCACAAGTAGCCAAACCGGGCCACAAGTAGCCCAATACGGTGACCCTGACAAGGAGCCAACAGACGTTCCAATAATACGGGAAGTAGCGAAAAACCTTCCCGAACCCTCGAGAACACAGAAGCAAACACCAGTCCCGAAGGCACACAAAAGCACAGTCGCACCCGAGACCAGAAGTCACATAGAACCCCAAGAACGGGGAAACATGACAAAGACACCGTCCCAAAAATGGGGGGGGGGGGAGCATCCACCCACAGGACGGAATCAACCGACTCAAAGGCCAAGGAACCGAGCCCGGGAAGGGGCCGACGCCCAACAACACGTATGGCGAGTGGGGAGGAAAAACCCCACTCCGCATAACCACTAGCCCCGCCTAGAGGGGGAGAAACCCCCCCCCACGGGGTCCTACGGGGTCAAGGCCCCCAAGGCCCTCCCCATCCCCGGGAACCTACACGACAGGCCCCGGGGCCGAGCCATCCCCCAAAGCCCCGGCCGTACCAGAAAACCGGGGCAGCCGCAAAAATACTAAGGAAGGGAGCCCACTAGCAGACACTTACAACACGGCTGGAGGAACAGGCTCAAATGCCCCTGTCACTACCCCGGAAGGGGAATTTCCCCGAGACTGCCCGAGTCTCAAAACCATCAAACCCCGCCCCGAACCCACAGATGGTAAGGAACCGGATGTAGGCAGGAAGAGGGGATCCAGGGAAAAGACAAGAGGGCGTGGAAGGAACCTAAGCAACCAGCACCCACAAGTCCCAACACAAACCAAAATGGGGCAGCCCTGAGGCTCCCGGGGAGCAAACAAACGAGAGCGTTGCCACCACCAAGGCTTAAAACGCAACGCCCCTGCTGCCCGCACCCGCTTAGTCAGCACAACTGGGTAACCGAGCCACAACGAGCAACAAAACTCGCAGGACTCCGGGTCGAAGGTGTCACCGACCCCACAGGCAGCAGATGGAGGCAAAACAGAGAGTCACCCTGAGACAAGGGGTGAGAGCAACCCTCAAACTTGCTGGAAGCGAGGGGTGGGGGGACTCTGGGGTCACATCCATCGGACCCGCGCGCCCCCAGGGGTTTCCCAAGGTCCCGAGCGTTTACTATAAGAGGACTCGTGCTCAGGTAATCCCAGGCAGGGTACTGCTAACCGGCGCCCAAAGCTACCAAACAACTTTCTAAGAGCTGAACCCCCGGGACGTGTACACTCACAGGGACCTAGCAGGGGAAACCACCAGGAAAATACTCAAAACACAAGGGGGAAGAACGAAGGCAGACCCCCACCAGGTAGGAAAAAAACAAAAAGAAAACCCCGCAAGAGGACAGCGTACCCAATATGAACAGAGCCGGCTGCCATGATTGGTGGAGACAAGCTGCACAGTACCCTGCACCCCACCAGTGCAAAACTGCCCCTTATCCTAAGGCGAACAAGGGAGACAGAACACCCGAGCACACAAAGAGCGGCCGAAAACCAAGCAGTAAACGGCCTAGCAGGGGCAGAACCCAAGGAACTTGTGGAAGGTGGCCTCAAGCCCCAAAGACAATACTTACAGGGCACCTAGGGAAGGGAACCCTAGGCGCATGCAGTTCGAGTACTGGAGACTCACTCCCGGCTCACGCACCACCTAGAAGAGACACCACATTCTAGGTACAGTGCCAAAACAACTACTGGAGCCGGAGCACACAACCGGTGCCTATAGCATCAGCCGAAGAACTGATGGGTGGATAGCCGGCGTGGGAGGTCTGGGGCTCCCCCTTCCTCCTCCCGGGGAGGGGGGATCTGCGCAGATAGCGGCACGGTGACGTGTGATGTCATACTAGTTTGCTTGTTTTCTGTTGGGGAGTTCTATCCACTAGTTCGGCTTTTGGTAGCAATTTTAACTAGAATAGGGGTTTGTTTTGGAATGCTTACCTTTCTGGATGCTTGACCCGGTCGATGGCAGACATAGAATGCTTCCAGCTACACGGGGGTTTCTATAGGCCATATTGCTCCACTTGCCTCTCTGAGGGGGCCAAGTTCTGGCCGTGGTTCCCGGTAGGCCCTAGAACTCCATACACATGATTGATGCCAAAGTCTGACATTAGCATATCAGCCTGGTAAAGCTCCAGGGAGCCGACAGGGCTCCCCCCAGAAAGGGGCCCAAGTTCCACTGTATCCTTTATAATAAGACTACTCTGCTGTATTATAAATTATGTATTAAATTAATTTTGACTAACCTGTCTGTTTGTTGGGGTCCATCTGAAGTTATCCAAGGCATAATAATTGGAGTTGATGGCCAATGAGCATCGAGACATTAAATACACATACTTCTCCCTGAAAAATTTACACAGGTACAGGTAGTAATAATTTCATATTTGTTCTTACTGACACTTTCTTTTGTATCAGTCAATGTAGCAATTAAAATCCCTATATATTGTGAAGATGTGAAGATAATCATTTTAAATTTCTCGGTCTTTTAGCAAGATCCCCATTTCATCTTTACACATTTCATAAAAATTTATCTCTAATAGTGCAATGGGCTATATTTAAAAATTAATAAAATAAGGCTCAATACTGCACATCTCAATTACTTACCACCAATCACTGACATAATTAGGTGCCCACCATGACTTGAGGTAAAGAAGGCGCTGCAGTCGAGGGCCAATACTGCTCTCAAAGTCATTCGCTTGTTTAGTATATTCCTTATATTCTTCCTCCGAGCATAAAGGCTTTAAACTGTCAAGCAATTTACCTGAAAGCATGTTAAATGAAAAACTTTCAACTAAATGCCTGGGGGACAATTTTCTATGCATTATCTTGCTCTAAAAGCAAATGCGTGAAAGGTAGACTAGCACAATTGCATGCAGTAAGCCGTAATGTATATAATATACTGTATAGAGCTCACTGACCAAAGAATATCCAATGTTATTGATGGCCTCCAAAGTTCCCTTTTTAACCCCTGAGCTGCACACCTATAAATAGTGATCACAAAAATATTGTTCTGAAAAAAACAATTTCTTGTTTTTACATTATTAATTAGCATCCAGGAAGCATAAAACCAGTGTTGACTGTAATGAAATGCCATTTTCTGGGCGAGCCATGGAGGCTCCCTGAAGCTATCCTGACTGAAGTGTGCTATGTTAGTTTGAGTTCATCAGTTACGGGAGTTCTTGTGCCTATCGGGGACCACAAGCCAGAACCTGGCCCCCCTCAGAGAGGCACAGGGAGCAATAGCCATACGAGTACTCTACATTTAGAGTATGACATGTCTACCATCGACAGGGGTATACCCCCCAGAAAGGAAGGCGAAACCTCAGACAACGAAATGCAGTTTACTCATGTCTTCTATTGACATGCTAATTAATTTTTCATCCAACTGTGCTAATCCAGAAGTTGGAAACCATGTATCGGTACCTGAGGCGAACCAAAGAACTGATCATAAAAGAAGCCAATGAACACAGGAGGCAAGCTAAACTTGAGCCTTATTTTAGAAGAACAGCAAGCCAAGAGCCTTCAACCAGCAAGGAGTCACAGGCAAGCCAAGAGCCTTCAACTTGTGAGGCTTCAGCAGCTGGCAGTCAAAACTGACCTTGCCTCGTGTAGTGTACAGTAATTTTAAGTGTTAATTTTAGTGTTGTGTTAGAATAGATTATGTAAGCAGGCGATGAGTCAAGAATTCTTAACTTCAAGATGTGTAGCATCAATCAAGAAGATGAACTACAACAAGACAAGTTGAGGTTTCTGGTTGAAATTAATGACAGTACTGTACAATACTTTAATATTTTCTAATTATATGTGGAAATTCAAATTACTGTATGTTGTTTGTGGTACAAACATTTTTGGAGATATCCACGTTTGGACTTCCGCGGTGAAAAGTCAGTTAATAGGGAAAACGTGCTAATCCGGCAGGGGTTCCTTCCCATAAAGTTTGGATTAGTGAACTTCTACAGTAGTTATATACGTGTGTGTATATATAGTGTAATAATAGGAAAAATACTTTGATTGATTTTGGAACATACTACACATGTCACCATATATGAGCTCCATAATTTTGAGCTTAGTGATGTTCCACACATTGAACTATATCAATTCCACACTTTTGAATAATATTACAGCAAAAAAAAAAACAAGAAACGAATGAGACATATTGAAATAATTATGAAAAATTTTATTCTCAGCAAATGCCGTCTCATGGGCTGGCGGGGTCGAGTGTTTACGGGTGCCTCATCACTCGATGCCCATAAATTGCTCAACTTCTCAGCTCCATCATGGCTAAAGAAGTAAACATACAATATTTTATTTCAGTTTCCCGTGATCACAGACCACATTTTAACAATATAAGAAAAACAAATTCTTGGAAATACCCAGTAATTTATTTTCTGTGCACCACGGGGGTGTCATGTTTTAATGCAGCACAGTGCAGTGGTTAAAGCAATAACTTTTAGTATGATTCTTTTACAAAGCATTATCAACTTATTAAATTCTAGGCATCCTTTAAAATTGTGATCAAATAGGTTATATATTTAAGAAATGCATTTTTGATAATACATAATGTTTGGGTAAGAAAGCCTTGAGCCAACCTAAATCCTGGTTTGCATTAGACAAAATATTGTATTATTCAACTTACCAAGTGTCTCTTCAAGAGGAGGAACAGGCATTCGTGGCAGAGATCGCTGGCAAGAATACAGAGAAGGCTGATATCCAGACACGAACTTGACAGTTAGACCCCACAGTTTGGTTTTCGAGGACACTTCCCTCACATTCTCATCTTTAGTAGAAAATTTTAACAAAATTCAGAATTATATATTTCTTTAAACAAATTTCCCCTTTTATCAAATATATTTAAGTTTTCTTACATGTAAAAAATTTCACCAAATATTTATATCATAATAACCTGCCTAACCTATATATCCATACATTGAAAGCCATAGACTGGAAGGCATATGAAGCTAGAACAGAGGATTTTTGAACTTGTAGAAACCTCATCCTGGAAACATTCATGTTTCAACATGTTAAACACGCTATTAAGATGAGGGAAGGGGATGTTCCCTCCATGCTGGATTTGATATTTACTAGGAAAGAGGAAGAGATATTTGACAATCAGTACCTCCCTCCCTTCGGTAAAAGTGACCATGTCTTTTTGGAAATAAAGTATGCAATGCATTATAATCGAGAAGAAAATGAGGTTGAAGCAGTTGAAAAGCCAGATTTCAGTAGAGGTCACTATGGGGAACTCAGACATTTCTTTAAGGAATTTGACTAGAAAGACTTGCTATTAGGACATGAAGTAAATGAGATGTATGTCAAGTTTTATGAAATATATGATTAAGGCACAAAAAAATTATACCAAAGCAGAGATGCAGAACTAGGAAACAGGACCGATTCAACAAAAATTGTGAGAAGGCCAGAGACCAAAAAGACACAAAAATGCAATAATATAATAAGAGGCCAAACTTACAAACATACCAGTCATACAAAGATGCGAGCCTCTCTCCTTACTGCGTCACGGCAGTAAGGAGAGAGACAGAAAGAAATTTTGAAAAAGGGATTGCGGACAAATGTAAAACAGAACCAGGTCTATTCTATAAATTCATAAACATCAAATTGCAGGTAAAGGATAATATTCAGAGGTTGAAAATGGGAAATAGATTCACGGAAAATGAAAATGAAATGTGTGAAACATCAAACGAAAAGTTCCAAAGTGTGTGTGTACAAAATAAAATCTTAAGGGAACAAAACACAATAAGAATTCCAAAGAACAACATAGAGCACAGAGTTGTCTAGAGACGAAGTGGAAAAAATGCTCAAGGAGCCAATTAAGAACAAAGCAGTTGGTCCAGATGGAGTTTCACTATGGGTTCTGAGAGAATGTGTACCTGAGCTCAGCATTCTGCTTCAAGTGATTTTTCAGGCATCCCTGTGTACAGGAGTTGTAGCTGATGTGTGGAAAAAGGCTAACATAGTTCCAATCTACAAAAGTGGCAGCAGTGAAGACCCCCTCAATTATAGACCTGTATCATTGACAAGTGTAATAGTCAAAATATTGGAAAAAATAATTAAAACTAAATGGGT